AATGAAGCAACAATGCCATAGAAAACTGTAGTAAATTCCTGTTTTTATTTTTTATATTCAATATCTGATTTTGTTTTTATTATATTCTTCTTATTTGTTTTGTTTTAGGCACATATCACATAAAATATATGTTGATGTTGAGTTAATTTTATGGGTAAGAGGTAATAAATTCTCAGTCCAATTATTCAGATTGAGAAATTAAGTTAATGGATTTATTAATTTATGTATTTGACAAAAATATGACACATTAGATTAGCCATATGGAGCAGATTTGAAAAATAGCCCTCGTAACAATACAATACACCTGGCACATATTGGAAAATTTAATTTCTGACACTGATACTAACAATAGGCTAATCAATATCAGAAAAGCCTCCAGACTTCATAAAGGGGCAAAATAATGTTATCATCAACAGCTAAATATAGTGTCCAATATTACACAATGAACCTGAGTACACACACACATAGACGCACACAAACATATGTAGTCAGCAGAGTTGCATGTCGCAATGTCAGCAGTGTCTATTGTCATACACGGTTCTGTATACATCCTTTCAGCTGTGTTATTGTGAAAAAAAAAAAAAAAAGACCATGCGCTGACAAACAAACTCAAGCATCCAAATATATCACTACAAACCACCCCAGCATTTTCACAAAAACCTTTCTGGGTTGAGTGAACAGCAGATGCGGAGCAGGTTAAGGGTCACCGCTAAAATTCACAGGGGCCTGACATTTTTTTGGGTGGTCCCCTTCTCCTTTCGGATCCAATGAGCAGACTATATAGCGGTTCTCCTCATGTGATGATGAAATTCTATATATTGAACAACAAAATGTATGCGATTTTATCTACAGAAACATTCAGGTGCTCCTGACAGAGGAAATCCATTCATTCTCAATCCAAATTCATTTCTCTAATGCCCTCTCACTCTCAGAGTGCTGACAGCCAGCCAGAGAAACAGAGCCAGTGAAAGCGAGAGAGGGCTAAAGAAAATGATGGAGGAAGAACCAGAAGACGAGAAAGTGTATTCTGGTGTGAATTTGATGATTCCCATGGAGGTGATATCAGGTAGTAGTGCACTTGATGACACCTGATGAGTACTGAACTAAGAACTGTGGGTAATAACTGAGACTGTTCAGCTCCACCTGTCAGACAACCTGCAGTTAGTGTGCCCGCTGAATCCAGAGCCACTTATCGGAGTCTTTATGGATAGAAAGAGGGGAAGTGAACACCACATTGAGCAGTATGATAGAAAACCATATCTTATTGCAAAATTGTACTAACAAATTGTAATATAACAAAATATAAATCCATGGACAAATAAAATCTGGTGTAAGATCTTAAGTGTTTTGTCCAAGTTATTTTGGGAAACCGAACAGGTTCTGCCTTGCTTTCATTGGCTGGATGAGCATGAGCAGTTGCTTTTGGACTTGAAAAAGCTTAGTCAAAATAGCAATTCTGGTGAGCTTTCATCAGTCTTTTTCAGAGACAGAAATGATATAAGGCAAAGATGTGTATCAGTGTATTGGATTCATGCATTTAGCCTTAAAGTGACAGTAGACTAATAATTAATAAAATACAAAATAAAAATAAAATGAAAAATACTTCAACAGCAGAATGTTGTATATATTTTGAAATGTGCGTTCCGTGTTGGAATGTCTATTTTTGTTTTGGTCTGTGTGATCTCGCCCACTGCTAGTTCACCCAATAGTATTTCGACACCGCGGGATGCCAGTTGGCAGGAAACACAGCGTATTGCAGCCAGCAAACAAACTGGGTCAGAGATTGCAGATTCTACCCAACCTAAAAAGACTTGGTATCCATCTAAAAATCTCTATGAACGAGAGCATATTAAAACGCGAATAAATCAACTCATACACTTTCTCATTTAAGTCTCCTCTGCTTTTTTTTGTCAATTGCACTCGTTCCTGTTGCGTGTTCTCAAACTGGCAACCCGAGTGAGCGTCGAGTCTGAGGAGGAGGCAGGGGAAACAATTATCTCTTTTGAATTTGGACTACCTATTTCGACCATTAGCTTTACAGTGGTAACACATACATATGTTTTATTATATATGATATAATTAATATCACATTTTTAGTTATGATGGTTTCATTATGGTGATTATCTATAAGGTGGACAGACTGGACACCAAACTTAATATATGATATTTACCATCTGAATCTAACCATGTCATGTCAACAAATGGAAAAGTTAGCCAGCTATTTATTATCATGTTAATTATTGTGCCTTTAGACCCAACAGCAGGGGCGCATTTTACCCCAAATATCATACTTTTACATTATTCTTCCGTTATTGAAAAGCTGTTTTTTTAATTACCTTGAACAAAACTGAAAAACATTTACAAGACCTTTGTCTAAAAATATAGACAATAATTGTATCAATTCTCATTTACTGCATAAATCTACATTTTAAAAAAAACATTACATATTAGATCAAATTAGCGCGATCGAGTAAAGGATCAGCCAAATTTCCACGTGCATCATTAAACATGGTTGTTAAGAAAAGTGCTGAGCTGAATTTTTATGCTATCTAGTGGTTTAAAAGAGAATAAAGTGAAATGCGCCTTTTACACCAGTGCGCCTTTAGCCCCGTTGTACCCTATATAATGAGTTTGGAAATTTTAAAGAAATGCTTAATTGATGCATCACAATTTAATTAAACCCATTCGATTTATATTAGACTAAAATCTAATATTTAATCGACTAAAACTAAAAGATATTCAGATCACTAAAATATGACAAACTAAATTACATTTTAGTCAAAAGACTATGACTAAAACTAATTTGCTATCAAAATGAACACTGGAGTGGAGCTTGTATGTATTCATGGAAGATAGTGCCGAGGAAGCAGTAGAGTAAAAATTTAAAAGTGAGGCGCACCGATAAACACAAGCAGTGAAAGCTTTTCTCTTTTACCAGTGGATGATTTTCACATGTGAAACCTATGCATGCATAACTTTGGTGTATATTCATGTATAGAAGCAGAGCCTGTGTATCTTTAACTATTTTCCACTAAAACTTGTAAACTTGGCTAGAGAGAGCCATAGACCCCACTTTTAATATATATTCACCTTCAATTCAAGGGCCCAGTGGAACTAATTGGCCATTAAGTCATTTTTGGCCCTTGTGTACGGCAAACATCATCCATTGCATCGTTGTAGTGCAGCTGTGGTTGGCAAACAAAGCCAGAATCAGCTGTGTTTTACATCATGAGACTCCCGGCTCTCCTTGACTACACCCAAACATGTTTTTTATTTATGTAATTTTATCCATTTATTTTGCTGCTGCTGCTGCAAAAATAAAAAATAAAAACTGATTTTGAAGAAAAATTTAACAAGCCATCTGAAAAGTGCCATATGGAGAGTGTGCATGTCGAATAAAAAGAAAAAAAGCTGGTTAACTGTGTAAAAAGATCAAATCACACAATCAGTCAAACAATATGCATGTTATGATCTCTCATTTATTTCTGTTATAAGGAAAATACAACAGTATTCCATAAAAGCAGAGGTGGAGAATCCATGGGGCTTTGTCCAGTAGTAATCATAACAGAGCACTGAATCCTGGGAAACTCCAGGACTGTATTTACACTGTGCAATAACAGAAACCTCAATGGTTGAAGCAGATAAAACAGACACACGCAGTTCCCTTTCCATCATAATATCTATAGAAATTCAAAGAAACTACTCAAGTCTCTTTCCGCTCGTTTCGGTTTTCCATCGAGTACGATGCAGAGATTCAATCCTCAGTCCATTTTCCACCTGGGATGCATATGATGCGGTATAGCCATCTATTAAAATGTGACATTGCATTTGGTTTTGTGAGGGGCAACAGAGCACATAGTTACAGGCAGCCAATTTGAAAAGTTCATTCAAGTGTACATGATAAAAACTGTATTTCAGACCAGCACCAAGAATTAATGCAAAAGCAGACGCATCACAGAATAAGATGATGAAGATGACTTTGAGCAGAGGAACTGTTCTGAGTTGCTCTGCCAGCCTGAAGTACTGGGAAAAAGCAAAGGGAGGTATGTGTTTGAACTACAGCCAACTGATATGGTCTCCTCATGAAGCGCGCGCGCGCGCACGCACACACACGCACACACACACACACGATCTCTCCTCCAAACAGAGTGCAAAGCCTAAGAAGTCTTACTCTCGCCATTAAACATAAGATCTGAAAATATGCTGCAGTGTAAAAGTTCATGTATCTTACTTCATACATCTCAGAACAAACCCATTAGATCTGTGAGGCCAGGGGTTTCTTAAACCATAGTGTTGAGTTAAACAAAAAGAAAACAAAAAAAAAAAGAGAGAGAGAGAGAGAGAGAGAGAGAGAGAGAGAGAGAGAGAGACGTAGACAGACAGACAGATAGATCGATGGAACAATTGATAGAACGCTAGGTAGATGAAAGATAGATAGATAGAAAACTATGTAGATGCTAATCCAAATGCAAAAGCCTCACACAGCTTGGGGATATCAAAAGTATCTAGAAATATATATCTACAATAGTTATGACACATACAGACAACCAAGCTTAAAAAAAATACAAATATTAAAAATAAAAAGATAAAATGACGGCCTCTCTGCCCTTTTCTTATGTCCCCTCTCCCACTCTGCCGCCACCCCCCCATAACACATCATATTAAATAAGGCACAAATTTACACAATTAAAATTTGGCTAGTTATTGTTCATCTATTTACACAAAACAGTTTTAGTGTTAATATTGATACATTGATGTTTGTTTTAACATAATACAGGAATAACTCAGGACAATAGTAAGAAATCATTTTGTTCTGGACTCTTACGCGGTGTCCTAGCGAGGTGCGACCAGTTTCAGTGTGTCAAACTGCTTCACTGCGCGACACATTCAGAACCAATCAGCAAGTATTTGATGTTTAAAACACTGGAGCAGAAGTATAGACCAATTCGATTTCACTGTGGGTGGGGCTATATATAATAGAAAACAGAAAGTGGTCAGGATTGGACTCAGGAGACAGCTTTAATCACTTTATCCCACCTGGTTAGGACACAGTGTTCAATGAACTGTAGAAGATTAAACATTTTTGATTCACTTTTACAGATTAACCGATTTTACCAGAGGAGACGGAGGGTAAATACTGGAACACATCTGCAGCGTATAGACAAAGAATACATTCCTCTTATACATACATCTCCTTCATAACACTAAGGCCGATTCATCTCACTGGGTGCAGAGTATTTTGATGTAACGGTTTCTCTAGCCACATTTAATCATCTGAATTTTAACTTTATTTATTGAGTTTGAGATGTCTAGCTGCATTACACGGGAGTGGACAGGATGGGGTGGGTATTATTGCTTATGGTTTTTATAGAGATCTCTTCAGGTTGTGTGGGAATTTTACAGCATATCTGCTTTCAAAATAAGGCAAAGGAACTTGTTGAGGGGGCTAAACCATTTCGGTAATCTAGATACATACACTGGGTATGTATTTGTACATACACGCACACACATACATATATATTTATATATATATATATATATATACACATACACGCACACACACATGCATATATACACATTTCTAATTGGGATCAGTACAGTTCATCAACTCTACATCAACAGAATAGTTAAGCCAAAGCAAGAAATATCAGAATATCAAACAAGATGTGTACACTTGTTCTGATAAAAGTTCAGGTCCGGAGTTTAGGATGAGTGACACCTGTCTAGACAGTCCAAAGTAACACCGTAAAGCCACACACTTATCACTGTGGCAGCCTAAATCTAGGTGGACTCTTGTAACTCCTCCCCTCGTAATGGCCAATAGCTGAGCAATACCAATATGGTACAAATATCTTTATGAAACAGAGAAAAACAGGTCATAGTTCAAATGTAAAGTCAACAACACTGGCAGCCAATTTTTTCCCATGAAGGCAAGTTTTTTGTCCAGTCTTTCAATTTTTCTTGACCACAATCAGTTCTGAGAGGTCGAGTAGCCTTTTACGAAAAACCACAGGCTTTTCTTCTCCATTGTTCAGTAGTTGAACTTCCCTGCCTGGTTGACAGGTGAGCTAGCAGGGATGAACAGTGGTTTGGGTGGGACGTCAGGCTTGAGCGAAGCTGTCCGACGGACAATAGCTCCACGGTGGGCTTCCTGCTGATCGCTGTAGCTATGCTGGCGAGTTAGGTATCCGTTAGGGATGAGCGGGTGCCGTACATCACAACCTGAACTGCTGCCATTAGAGTTCATTCGGGACAGCAGGAGGGGCTGATGGGAGCTGCGCTGGTTGAAGCTGTGCTGCCGAGGCACCACTCCCCCGCTGGGCATCTTGGGGGTTGTTATCAAAGAGTGGCGTTGTGACTGGTGACGGGACACTCTCTCCAGGGTGGACTGATGATGAGGAGGAATCTCCGGAGGAACGTCCATGCGACGAGTGAGACTGTCCCGAGGAAGCGTGGAGGAACTGTAGTATGGCGCAGTCTCTGTTTCTGGGATATGTGGCTGTACGCGATTTGCGAACGCCATCTGACCGGCATGAGCTGACATGGAAGAGGTGAGTACAGTAGGACTCTTGCCCGTGGCCACGTTGATTTCGTGAATGTGTTTCAGAAGCTCGTCAAGTGAGGTAACGTCCACAATCTTGTGTGGGTAGCAGTGATACGGCTGGCTTACCACACGCTCGGCGTTGTGGACTTTGCGTTCCTCCAAGTGTGCCGAGCCACCTAGTACCTGTCCGTTGGTCAGTCCTTGGGAGAAGGGGAAAATCTGATGCTGCATCCCAGGGGTTGGCCGAGATGCTCCCATGTTATGGGACTTGGGTTCTTTAGCATTATTGCAGTTTTGATTCTTCTCCCATTGGTTCTTGAAGGCCTTCATACTCTTGATTGGGAGCTCTGGTGTCGAATCAGGGGTGGGAAGGCCGGAGAGCTCAGCAGAGTGGTGATGATGTGGGTGAATGAGCTCTGTCATGGCAGCATGGTGGGCGTTCCTGCGATGCGCCTGCTCTTTTCCATTAGCAAAGAAAGAGTTGTAGAGTTTGGGTGAGGATACCTCCAGCTTCTCATCCTTGCTTTGGCTCTCTAGCAGGCCGTTTAGCTTGGCTAGGCTGCGCAGGGATAGAGCATGTGGGATCGGTGCTTCTGGATCTTTCGACAGCCTCTTGGTCTTGTTAACGTTGTGGTTGCAGTAACAGGAAACGAGGAATCCGGAGAGGAAAGCTCCCAGGACAAACGCCACCAGGACACAAGCAATGAGCAGTGTGTAGTGAACACTGTGGTTGGACTTATCTACCTCAGGGGGCCGGCGCACTCCTGTAGAGAGGGGAAGAGAGCAAGATGAGTGCACTGTAAAGACACAGCGAGGTGCCAGTTGGGTTAGCTTTTAACAGTGTGCGAGAGTGTAGAGTTCTTAGTAGACTTCTATTCATGTTAGAAACTGCTGACAAACAAAGCAGAGCGCTGGCTGAGCGGGCCGTTCTAAATCAATCTGCAAATGCGCATTGGTTCAACATCAAATAATGCCAGAGGCTCAAGAACAATTGCTAATGGTCTTGGAGGGAGCTAAGTGGTTCTCTCATTAGCCACAGTCTCGAGAGCAGCAGCGCTATGTTCTTGACTCACAGCTGATTGTGCTGTTCTACACTGAGCTGCATATGGCGTTAAGGTGGTGCGAAAATGACATAGAGATGTTTTCAGTGACTACAAATTAAAATGAATGCACAGACCACCTTACAGTCTTAATGAGCTGAGGGTAGAGGTGATTTTGCTAACATGTGCATGCTCAGATAATTAGTAACTCCCACTGCCATCTGCACAGTCAGCCTTTCCTTGTTTTTCTCCTTTTTCTTCCTTATTTATAAGAGCCAGTAAACGGAAAAATCTGCTGTTAGAGATATTTTACATAGAGAGATATTTGACACTGAGCTGTAAGCTACATTAGTAAAAAAAAGTGTCTGCTAGGAAACAAAATGTTATGTCTTAATTCATTTTAATACAACATCATAGATATCATTTAAAGAGCACAAATTCCATTACATGGAACAGTATTGATGTGTTAGCTATCGAAACTGAAAAGGTGGGACATATGCACAGCCATGAAAGTGAAGAGAGGTGAAAGCAAGATACATAGATGAAATAAAAAAATAAATTGAACTATGGCTGCATCCGAAATCGGATACTGTCGTAATACTGTTTGAATTTGAACTTACTTCGCACCTGTAAACAACTATGTTCTGTATAGTATGAATGTGTGTAGTACATTGAATGAAATTCGTACATACTATATCCGCCATGTTGTTCCTGTCACATGACCTACCAGCATCAGTTGCGTCGCTTCACTGCCATTTATAAATCCTCTCCCGTGGCCTCATGGGATAGTAAAGTGTCCAGTGAATGCGCACTTCAGAATCTCTCCGGAAGTACCAAGTCATCCAGGGACTTTTGACCTACTGTTTTTCGAATACTATGCATTCAGACATACTACTGTGTTGGCATACTGTTTTTCACATAGCCTACTATATAGTAGGGAAATATTCGATTTCGGGCGTATAATTTTTATAATTTGCTAAAGATTAGCTAATTGTGAATTGCTATAGATTAGCTAATTGTGAATTGCTATTCAAAGTTATACTACAGGGCTGTTGAATGCTTGATTCTGATTGGTTGAGAACGTTCTAAGGTGTGCAATTATTTTCAGGGAAACGCACGGCTAAAGTAGTTCCAGGCAGGTTTGACCGCATTACAGTTCCATATCACTGCGCATAGTTAACTGTCATAACGGAAAATAGGATACAATTCATAACAAGAAAAAACATGCAGCCCATGCGCTTGATCTGCCATTTTCGATGTCTAACTTCACAATCAATGGACACATGCAGTTTAATTTGAATTAAAAAAAAGTATATAGTCCTATCTATAATCAATAGAAAATTAAACTGAATATATAAATAAATTGATAGTCCTGCTGCTGCATGGGTTTTCGTAATTATTCCAGATAATATACAAATAAATAATTATTGATAGGCCTACTTATTAAAAGGGCTTTGTGTTTATTTTATTAGGCTAGTCTACTGTCAATAATAGAAAAAAAAGAATGAACGAATTAAAACGAATTGAATTAATAAATAAATAATAATATTGACGCACATGCTTTTCTGTCTTATTATTTGCAACATCTCTCTATCTCTAATAACTGCATTAATAACTAGGCCACATAAAGCGGGGACACACTTATTGTAAGGCCGGTTATGAATGTAATTTGATACTTATGACTGATCATGCCCAAACGCGCGTTCAGCGCGTTCAGTCTGTGTTCACAGTCGGTGTTTGAACCTGAACCTGCTGCAGTCGATGGAAACAGTCAGTCTTCGGATGTTTCAGCAAGTCGTAAGTGTGTCCCCATCATTAGTCTGCTGTCTGTGGCTCAGACCTCCGTTACTAACTCTAAAATGACGTTTTGGAATTAGCAACGGAGGCATGGGATTAGATGCGTAAGAAATTAGTCCTTCATACAAGAGCGTTTTAATGACAAAAACTTGACAAACGTCTAGAATTACATCATCTGAACAATGTTTTGAGGTGTGGTAACTGTAGTATAAGCGGAATAATTGACTCCGGGCCGTTGAATTATTAGAAAAATAATGCACACCCGAGGTGTAACCATAGACAGTAAAAGAAATGGACAGAGCGATCTCATTGGAACTCAGTTGAGACAGTTGAAGCCCACTTTTAGCGATTTTTCAGAACTTCCGTTCCTGACGCGCAGACTCAGACCGACTCAAACTAAGCTTGATGACGTGAGCAACCTGTCTGACAGACGTTACTCTTCTAGTAGCTGTGCGTGAAAACTGCCAACGTTAATCTTGCAGAGACGGGGAACTTGAGCAAAGAGTTCTTTGGCGTGAGTGAGCAGGAGTAAGAATTCCGTTGCTTTTATGGACTCATTATCTATGGGCTTCTCCCTTGACGGGACGTCTCCCCGATTGCCAGCGAGCTTCTCCTCCTGTCTGTACGGTAACTTCTGTACAGCGCGACAGAGAGTCGAGTGGTTATGACGCAATCGTTAGCCTATTTTCACTAAATCTGTTTCTACGGGGCCATAGTGTAACATAGAAGGTAATGGAGCCCTTTATACATTGTCGTGTTTCTTTAGAAATAAATAATGGACAAATGGAGTCTTTAAACGCCTCAGATGTAAAGTTATTCGCTGTCAAAGTGACGCAAAAATGAATGGGAGTCAATGGAAATGCTAACGCAAGTGAAGTTCTGCTACAACATGGCGGCACCCGGCCGGCTTCAACTTCCGGTCGATGGATTACCCCCTTGGGTGTAACGGCCACTCCGCTTCGCGTCGTGACCGCATTACCACCTCGGGTGTGCATTATTTTTCTAATAATTCAACGGCCCGTCGTCAATTATTCCTTACATAACATACAGGAACTAAAAGCCACAAAAGTCTTATTCTGAGTCTTAAAAATATATTCATAAGTTTTGGAACACTTTGCAACATGGCAAGTAAACTGAATACACCTTTATCTTATCAAATGAAAATGTCTTAAGGGAAACATTTGTTGCAGACTGCTGAGAGACAAAACTAAAGATAGCTTAAAAGACATGTAGCAATAGCGGCTTAAGACTTTTGGCAAGGCCAACGAAGTCTCACTGATGCTCACGTCAGCGAACAGCAATGGCAAACACAACACAGTGTCAGAACAGAGTGGGTGGATCACCGTTAGCAAGCTATTGAGTTAGGGAGAGAGCGGGAGAGAGACGCTATTGTGCTTTTTCTAGCTGCTGCAAGCAAAAATACAACTATGAATGCATAATAACTCTATGTGAGAAAAACAAGGATAATCTTCCTCCAGGCATCAATACAAACACATTAGCCGAGCAGCAACTGTGCTTTGCTAGCTATAGGAGTAGGAAAGCTTACCGCCAACTCAATTCTTTACTGTAATTTTTTTCTCCCGAACTGTTTATAGATGCAAACCAGAATGAGTTATAGCCAAGTAAACTTCTAAAAGAGTAGCCCAGTGCACACACATCTACATCTCACAGTTATTGAAAGATCTTAACATGTTTTTTAATAAGATGGAGTTTCTAAGGCCGATTTCACACCTGGCTTGTTTGGAGCATTTGCTTTGGAACCTGGTGTGTTTTGGTTCGTTTAGGCATAAATGAACACAGCAATCGCGCTCGGATCTGCACCAAAACAATTGCTCCGAGATCGCCTCAATGAGGTGGTCTCAGCCCGACTGAAAACAAACTGAGGTGGTTCAGTTGAGGTGAGAAAGCAATCTGACCCAACAAAACCAACAAACTAAGCAGTATCATAATTCATAATGGGAATGTGTGATATAAAAAGCAGCGGTGTCTGATTCTGTGAGTTTTTGTGATTGAAAACCAAAGAGTGCCTCTTCATCTGAGTAACTGCTCTTCTCCATGCATTGCAAGAATGCTGTCCCAACAAAGCCTTGATTCCCACTCTATCTGCATTATAAATTTTATATATTTGAAATATAATTAAATATATGAAATTTATCAGTCAGAACGTGAATCAAGGCTATATTCGAATAAGTGTTTGCGTGTCACGACAGCTTCAGATAAAGGCACAAAAAGTTGGCAATCCATCTTGATGGATGACACAGAGGAACGTAAACAGGTGAACTTTGACCAATAAGGGGGCAGTTTTACTCACATGTGATTTGCATAAACACATTTTGGTATGCTTTGTGTGAAAGCCAACCGAACCAAGAAAATTTTAACAAATTAAGTCCCTGTTTTGGAACAAAGAAAATTATCTACAGGTGTGAAAACGCCCTAAGTCATCAAAACTGACTTGTTTAATGTTTGCATACAACCGAGAAAAAAACCTACCGTACTAATATACCTAAGTTTGCTTCATTCTCTTGTAATAACAGCTATAACAGACTTATGTGCAAATATACTGGAAGATGTTATGTATAATAGAAGAGACCTTTATCTTTCTCTGACTCATTCTTCTGCTCTCTGCTGGTCTATAAACTGAGGTCTTTGGCCCCTGGGAAGCACTGAGGGCCGGCATATGCTATGTGATGATGGGTGACTCACATGCACACACTTTTAGTGTCACAACAGGTTTGTAGTCCTTTTTCATGACTGAATAGCTTTTTATTCAATATACTGGAATACACACAATAACAAATACTTCCAAAGGCAATATATATATGGGATATATATATATATATATATATATATATATATATAATGATATACAGTATATATATAATGTACACTGATAAAGTGCACCTTTAAATATATCTAGTTGACTTTGT